GCCTCAAGTTATAGCTGTAGTGTCAGAGGGTCAATTTGCTTTTTAAATATGTTTTGTTTTTTCCATAGGACGGTTTTGCCGACTTATGGATTCCTGAAATTGTCTTCACAGAATGCATAAGGTTGGAAGAGACAACAGTGCTCAAGCAGGATCATCTCAGAGCATGTGCCACAGGATTGCATCCAGACGGCTCTGGAATATCTCCAGTGAGGGAGAGTCCACAGACTCTCTGGACAATCTGTTCCAGTGTGTGGTCACTTGCATAGTAATGAAGTTTCTCCTCATTTTCAGCTGGATCTTCCTGTGTATCAGTTGCTGCCTGCTTTTCTGGCCCTCTAGCTTGGCAACTCTGAGAAGAGCCTGGCTCCATCCTCCCTTCTGAGTCTACTGTGCTTGGTCAGTAGCCTGTGTATTTGGTAAGATTCTATTGCTTTCTTGCTTATATGAACTTAGCATTGTTCTAAGAGCACCTAGATTGTGTGTTCAGTGCTGGAAGGTAAAACAATGACTTTTTCATTACCTTTACCTGGTTTTTATAGCAATTAACTTTTCACTTGTTTGGAAGCTGAGATGATTCCAAATAGTGCTTTTATTTGCAAGCCTTAGTGAATCTTTTTCTTTAGTTTCCCGCTTTTCTTCTATAATTCAGAATGATTTGCATCATTTTGTGACATGCTGCCATCCAGGTGGTTAGATTTATTAGTCCTTTCATGGTTTCTATTTTTTTAGGCAATTTGTTTTTTATATCACTTGGAATCTTAATAGGAATGAAGATAGTGTTTAAAGGACTACAATGGAATCCCATCTGTCTGAAGACAGAATACAGTACACTTGCTGTTGCAGTTAGATGTAATATAGCAGCAGCATTTGGGTCTGTTGCAGCTGCTGACTTTCATTATGTTACAAGAAGCAACCTATTCTCGTGTTAGAGCACAGCTTCAGTCTGAGAGAGGGTTCATAGCAGGGGGCTGAGAGGTGACTGAATTATTCAGCGTTGCTCAGCAGGTCAGAGGGTGTGAGAAGAATCCTGGTACTGCTGGGAAGATGAGCCTTTGAAAAATTTACTTCCCTAGAAGCCATGCTACACTGTTCTTTGATTTTTTATGAGCTTTCATTTCAATAGGGCTAAGATTTAACCCATCATATTTACAAAAGAGGCATTATGATGTAGTTCTGAAGTGCCTGTCACTGTGATATTTTGGTTCCCACATAGCTGATTCACTGGGATTTGCTCTCTGTTAGGAGTGGCAATGACATTATTCATACTCTGCTTGTTCGTAAGCGCTGAATTCCCAAGGGATGCTTTCTTTAAGTGATACCAGCAAGCTGCAGTTACAGCTTTCAAAGTATTTGTGAGTTGAATTCTTCCAGCTTGAGCTGGCGTCTTTCTCACGACATCAGAATCTCTAGCTCTGTCAGCAATAGCAGCCCCTATTCAAGAAAGAGGTCTTCATTTCATCACCTTTATCCTCGAGAAGGCAATCACAGAAAAAAACTAGAGGTTTCTGCTCACGAACTAGAGAAGGTTTTAAGCAATTTGGGAAAGAGTGCAGAGAAAGAAACCATTCTGACCTTTCTCTCCACTACCCCTCCAAGTTCAGTTTCTACTCTTCTCTCTTCCTATTCTTTCTCATGGATACCAGGTCTGGAAATGGGCTGTCTTTTAAGCAGATGGACAGAAAAAAGTTCCTTCAGACAACTTCTACTCACAGCTCAGCAAAAATGTGCAAGATTGTTAGGAATTTATAGACACAAAAAGTATTGCTATTAAAATGAAATGTTAGTAAAGACGTAATGAAAGCAAGAGCAAGTGGTAGTCATAAATTTGTGGACATTTGAACATACCACCTCTACACATGTAAGTGTAATTGCATGTTGCAGTAGTATTAATGTCATTCAAAATTCATCAATAAAATACACTGCACAGTGTTATTTTTAACATTTTTCCAATATGTGTGGTCTCTAGAGTATTTGCATTTTCTTAACCACTTCCTAGAATACATAAATCATAGAATCATAGAATTCCTGGGTTGGAGGGACCTTAAGAATTGTCTACTTTTAATCCCCTGCCATGGGCAGGGACACCTTCCACTAGACCAGGTTGCTCAGAGCTCCAACCAACTTTGAACACTTCCAGGGACTGGGGCATCCATAACTTCTCTGGGCCACCTGTTCCAGTGCCTCACCACCCAAAGAACATCTTCCCAATATCTAATCTAAACCTGCTGTCTTTCAGTTTGCCACCATTCCCTCTTGTCCTGTCACTACAGACCCTTGTAAACAGTCTCTCTCTATCTTTCTTGCCATCACCCTTCAGGTACAGGAAGGCTGCAATTAGGTCACCTTTAAGCGTTTTTTTCCAAGCTGACCAAACCAAATTCTCTCAGCCTTTCCTCACAGGAGATATGCTCCATCCCTCTAGTCAATCTGGGGCCTTCCTCTGGGCTTGCAATAACAGGTTGGTGTCCTTCCTGCGCTGGGGACCCGGAGCTGGATTCAGCACTCCAGGTGTGGGCTCATCAGAGTGGGGCAGAGGGGAGAATCCCTTTCCTTGCCTGGCTGGCCACACTGCTTTGGATGCAGCCCAGGACCTGACTGGCCTTCTGAGCTGCAAGTGCGCATTGCTGGCTCATGTCTGTCAGGAAGCTTTCAGAAAGTGGAAACAAAGACAGGTGTCCTGGGAGGAATACAGTGAAATTATATGGGAAAATATTAGGGAAGCCAAGGCTCAGTTAGAATTGAGGCTGGCCAGGGATATTAATGGTAACTGGAAGGGCTTTTATAGATACGTTGCAAGCAAAAGAAAGTCAAGGGATAATGTCCTAAGGATAATTTCCTTCCTCTCCAGAAGGAAATAGGAGACTTGGACAAAGAGAAGGCTGAGGTTCTTAATGACTCTGTGCCTCAAGCTTCAATGGCAAGTGCTCCAGCCACACTACCCAAGTCCTTCTCAACAGAGCTGCTCTGATCTGGTTACCCCAAAGCTTGTGTTGATATCAGGGGCTGCCCTGACCCAGGTGCAGCACCTTACACTTTGTCTTGTTAAACCTCATGAGATTGCCATTCTTGAGCTTGTCCAGCTTGGGTGGTATTCCATCCTTCAGGAGTGTCATCTGTGCCCCTCAGAGCTAGGTGTCATCTGCAGATTTTCTGACAGATCCCTTCATTTATGCCATTAATGAAAATGTTAAATGCCACTGGTCCCAGTTTGGACCCAAGGGACATCACTTGTCACTGGTGTCCAATGAAACCTGACAAGAATGGTTGACACAATTGACTGTGTTTATAAATGTTGATGCACTATATCTAGTATGTAATAAACCATCCTATTAATAGATTTTAGCAAATTTTTAAGTGTATAAGTTATTTGACTTGGAAATTAATTTTATAAATCAAAACAAAGCTGTTTTACCAAACTGTGATTTTTGTTTGGTTTGGGTTTTTATTTTTATAATTCTACTGAAAAGCCAATATTTCAATGAAATGATAAAAGAATTGAAACCAATCCTGAACTAAAGCTAGAATTCAGCAGTACAGTACTGTAAGAATAATCTCTTCCAGGATCTTCTAAGTAACAAGTATTCAGTGCTAACCTTAAAATCTAGCTAATCATCACAACAACTGAAAAGCAATCTTTTTTTTCAGAAATTCTCTATAGTTTTTAATAATTCTGAAAACTTTTTATTATGTTTTTATATTGAACAGGGACTGTAGGTGCTGTGCTATCATTTTTCTCAGCAACCTTAGCTCACAAAGAGTTCTCTTTCTGAGGAATAAAATGGATGAAATTTTAAAGATTACTTTCACCACCGTTACCAAGGTACCTGACTCCTTCACCCTTGCTGACTGGAGCCATAAGTGCCAGTATTTCCTCTCTTGCTGTTGCTGTGCATGTGTTGATTCAGCATAGTTAGACATTATTGTTTGAAACCTAACCCAATATGTCAATGCCAAGGTATGATTGGGATTTTTTTTTTTTTTTTGAACTTCACTTATGGTTTTACAGGCACTTTTGCAGGAGCAGAAAATGGAATTTTCCAGCTTTGTGGATGCATCATTCATTACCCCTTATAAATCTCTGGCAAATAAGGCAGTGTTTAATTTGAAATGTACATTATTGAACCTTGTCCTTTTTTTCATGGAGGCATGTATGTGATTTCTTAACTAGATATTAGTACTGATCAAAATGTCTGAGAAAAATTTAACCATTGTGTCCCCACTCTAATCAATCCTGTGATAACTTTTACTACTTGTCTGGTAAATTTTATCACATTTTTCACAGAAATTGGCATTTATTTGGCATTTATTCAGAATGTAGAATAGTGCATAACAATTTACATAATATTGTGAATGGCACTAAATCCAAGTAAGTAGGAACAATAATTCTAATGCACTATCCATGTTGAGCCAGAAGAAAAAGCAACTGCTCCAGTTAGAGACACTTGGTCTTTTATCTATAGCATAAGCCAAACCCAATAGGTTCAGTCACTTAATTCTTGGACAAGAATTTGCTTTGGGAAGGTGCCAAGCACTCACAATTTTTTCAAAAACTTCAGTCTTTCAATAAGCATCACTTCAGTATTCTAAGTCTTTTGCTCATCAAGCTCCCATCAGCTTATTTCAGACAGTTTGAGATCTAGAAGAGTGAGTCTGATTTCATGAACCCTTAGACATAGGTCATGAATCATGATACAAATTTTTTTGTACACGTTTTACCTCTGATTCAGCTGCAGGGGGCAGTTCAACACTATTAAAAATAGTTAGCAGTTAAGCCATTTATAGGAGCAAAGAGAAGTAATATAAAAAATAAAATGCTCTTCATAAGGAAAGATGTGAGAAGCTTTGTTTTCATAGGTGATTCCATAATGTTTCCTAAGGATCCATTGGTGTTCTGAGGTGGCTACAAACAAGCACCAAGATTTAACAAAAATGAAGATGATCACTGTGAGATTTAAATGTTGCCAAAACTAATTTTGTCCTTTTTCCCTTTTTTTTTTTTTTTTTTTAGGAGCAGACCTGAATGCCTTCAAATGGTTCAGGAGCACATCTGAAATGCCTATACCCCAACACATGCAGCATGAGAAACTGGATGAACTGGAAGGTTTGGTCAGTTCCCAGAGCTATGGCATCATCAGCATGGATGAGACTTAGCAGAATGCATCCCACGCTGGAGTGCTTGGGTGGAGGGCTGCGGGCAGGCAGGTGAGGTGTTGGAGTGGCACTGTGTGCTGGGCAGAAATTTGGTTGTACAGCCTTTCAGTGAGTGATGGTGTGGGTGTGTGACCTGCCTACATGCATGCTAAAGGTGTCATGAAACACAGCCCAAGAAAATTATTTCCTTTTTTAGTTCAGAGCCTTGAAACAGAAGTGATGGGATTGCAGACGCACTGGGTGCTTGCCATACAAGGACAGTATCTTCTGTCGTGATCCATGTTTTCAAACTCCACTGCAGTGTATATCAGCACCTACACTGGCAGTGTAACCAGGAACAGTGCAAAATTACCATGTGTTCCTGTAAAATAAAGGGGTTTATTAGTAAAATAAAGGGTTGCTGAGAGTGAGACCATCCTGAGCAGTCTTTCCTGCTGTTCCCTTTAAGATTCTGCATGGTGCTCAGCTGACACCACCTTGTTCTTCACAAATCTTTTTGGAACCAGAGTCTGAACAGAATTCTGTCTTTTGCAAATATAAGGTGCTTTCAGGAAGAAACATAACTTCACATAAAAAAATTAAATTACTTGCTGAAGCTAAAATCACAGTGAAATAAATTCAGCAGCTTCAGATTCTGTTGTAACGCTTGTTTGCTACTTGCAGCTGGCATCAGTAGACCATGACCATATCTTTAAACTATATCTTCATGAGAGCAAAAACATAATTCTTTAAAAAATTGCCTGAAACTGAATTGATTCAAAATGTTGTATATTATACCCTGGTGGTTTTCATGAAACTAAAATGAGAAGCTTCTTAAAAACGTCACACTTTTTAGAGCCTCAGCACATACCTAAATTATGAGTCTGATCTAAAGCTATTTGAGATTAATGTAAGTAGCTTTTTCTCTTTGAAGGCTATGTATTGGCTTCTTAATCTTGGTGTAATTTGAAATAACTCTTTCTGCTGGAAATATTAAGATTGAGTCTGAAGCTTTCATGAAGTGACCATTCCATAGCTGGGGTCATACAAAAATTCATAAAGTAAAGAAAAACTGTTTTAAATACCAATTTTTATTATGTGTAGAAGAGCATTAGTATGTCTTCAACATCATATCTAAGATCCTAAGCTAGCTGGTGTAAATGAACTGAAAACATAACAGACACCCTTAGTATTTCTAATAATTAAAGAGTTCATTAAGAGCAAGCTAAGTGTGCTGTTGATAAACTTGAATTTAATATTTGTTTTCATCCTAAGTAGAATAAGCTCATTATTGCTTGAATTGTATCAATAGAAGAAAATCACAATACTCTTATCAAATGAGAGGGAGAGAGCTGGAAATAATTTATATATAGAAAGTAATCAAAGCAATTTCTTGGATTACCGGTCACTTAATTTGGAATTTTGTCACTTAAAAACAAAAAAGGTGTGATGAAGTCGTAGTCTTTGTTTGAGAAATATAAATTGCTGAGTACCTTTCTTAAAAAATAACTAGTTAAGAATTCATGTTGCACAATTAAATCAAAGTGCTCTGAAACATGAAATGCCTGTTCTTAGATCCTGCTGTGATTTATAGCATCACACAGAGTAGAACAATTTTTCAAAGAATTTCCATATGCACTTGCAATGCCTATAAGCTTTGACACAGCCATAATTTCTAGTTTGATGCAAAAATCTCAAGTAATGAAGAATTAGCTATCCCAACACTTGCTTTTGTGTAAAATTACCTTAATTTTAACATGTGCTTTGTCCTTGTAATCCAAGTAATTTTTGGTGGGATATTTTGGTTAGCACATTTTGTCAAAAGTAGGTTTGTGTAAAAAAAATCTGAGGTAAAAGTAATAATGGTATAGGTTTTTGTGAGATACAAACCCAAGCTTTCATGCTAAAGTATGGTGAGAAAAATGTGGCAGAGTTCATCTTGGCACTAGGGGTAGTATTTAACAGTTCTATGCACCATATTTAACAGCACTCTGAGTTACTGTCAGATAAGAGACTTGATCTGAAGTCAGGTAAGAAATACAGAGTTCATCCATACTAAATCTTTCCTCTTATTCTGCCCTTACTGCATCCATGAAAAGTTGCTAAGGCTTGGGAAGAACAAAGGTGCTGCTCAAGAACAAAGGCTTCTTCTTATTGACCGTGTCTTGGCATCAAGGAAAGCCATATGTTAAGATCAAAAAGAAAAAACCTCAGTGATAAAAAGGGATTGGATGTCTTTATATAATATGACTTAGTTTTGCTGCACAATTGATCTGTCATCTTAGAGATTTTTTTTCCTTTCAAGCTACTGTTAAAATATCAGGATGGGAACATTATAACACTGTAGAATGGCAACATCTGCTAGCTCTTGGAGTTAGAGTCTGTTTAAGTCTCTATACTTCTACTTTTATTCTTCTCTATGACCAATTTTATTGGAATTTTCCTCATAGAAAGTCTTGGGAGACTCTATGTACTATACATTTCTAGTACAATAAATGTCTGTTTATTTGAGACTTGGATGAACACTGAAATGAATGTTTATCATTCCAGTCAACTGTGGATATGCATTTCCATTTTGGAGAATGTATTTAACAGAGGAGGCAAGTATTCAGGTCCAGTACACTGTCAGAAGGGTGTGGCACACATTCTATATTAGTCCTTGAAGTAATTTTGTTATTGTGTAGATAATCTGTGTTTCAAGAACCTGGAAAATAAATCAGGTACTTCGGAGAGTTCAGTATCTCCAAGAATCTAAGTATATCATGCATGCTAAATATTTTTCGTACTGTATTTCTTGCAGTAGTAAATTCACCAAAATTTTTATAGACATGCAGATTTTCTAATCTGCAAAACAGATTAAGCAACATAGCAAAATTTTATGATCATAGTATGATGAATCTATTGGTCAGTCTGTTTAAACCTAAAGGGTATAAATGAAAGGGATCTCATTTAAATGTTATTTTGTTAATTTTTTCAATAACAATTGGGTTACAGAGAAGAATTTTATAAAACTCAACATAAAAAAAAATCCAACAAACCCAGAAAAACACCCTGTCCCCCCAAATAATAAAACTGCATTATAAGTGAAATAGTCTAAAAAATTCAGCCATCTTGTAGGAAACTTGCAAGACTTTCACTTTTTCTTAGTAAGTCTCTGTTCTGTTTTTCTGGTGTTACATAAAATGGCCTGGGTTGGAAGGGACCTTAAAGATTGTCTTATTCCAACCCCTTTGCCATGGCCAAGGACACCTTCCACTAGACCAGCTGCTCAGAGCTCATCCAACCCAGCCTAAAACACTTCTGGGGCTTGGGGCACCTATAACTTCTCTGGGCTACCTGTTCCAGTGCCTCATCACCCTCACAGTGTATGTGCAGAATACTTCTTTCTTGTCTTCTTATGGTAAGTTTTCCAATTGGAGGGTTGATATAGGCTATCTTTAGCAGCATTAATTTGCAAGGAGTTTATTATTTTAGTGATGGTTACTGTAGGTATAATCAAGGTCCAAAGTTAAAAATATCACAGTCAAATTATTGCATGGACTATACTTTTTCAGAGGTTAAGTGTTTTTGATTTCCTTGCAGAATTTTTCTTAATGGCTCTTTTTCAGTTCTATAGCTGTAGAATAATCTTATCAATAAGTTTGACAATAAGGATAAATAAAGCATTAACATTTTAATAATATCTATTAAAACAAAATCAAACCTCCAAAGTGTGATAGGAAATGCAGTGCTGTCTAGATATTATTTTAGATACTTTTAGGAAAAAAAAAATCTTCCTGTTTTGGGGATGTAATGACATAGGCAAAACCTTGAGGAGACCAGGCCAAGTGCTATGCATTGTTTTTACATCAGTCATCTCCACAGGTGGCTAGTTCTGAGGAGTGTCAACATTAGGTACAGTAGGTTTGTAGCCTGAGTTTCTCTCTCCATAAGGCAGTTTGGGTAAAACCTTTGAGCTACCTGTAGCAAGTGGTAAGAAAATCCAGGAGGTGAAAATGAGCCGCTGAAATTCATTAAGTGAATGATATTGATAAAAACCTGTCACATCAGAAAGTGCTGGGGAAAAGGAGGATTTCAGGCTGAGTAAATGACTGCTGGTGAGCCACTTCAGTCCTGGGGGTTGTCTTGGCCTGGGCTCACTTACCAGAGTCAGTATGAAAAAATTGTTATTGTTGGATACGCTACATAATAAAATCTGGACCCAAATAATTTGAAGCTGGAGAAACAATTTTGCTTTCCAGTGCTGACAGAGATTTTAAGAAAGTATCTACCATGCCAGGTTTTGGTAAGAACAGAATTATTCTAAGTTCATCACTAAGATATGACATTTTCACAAACAATCTTCATATGATCACCAAGTAATTTTTTTGTAATATCTACCATATTTCAATTTATATAGAAAAATATTACAGATGGCAAGAGCTGAAGGAAGATTTGGGCAAATGGACTAGATGTAAATTGTTGGTTTCTGTACATAAATTCTTGTGTAGCATAGGTGATGAAGCATAGAAAACTCATTATCAGAGGAAGGACAGCTATATGTAAAATTCATGTACTTCCAGAAATAGTAAAGTCTAAGCCAGGATTCAAATCCTGATTATAAAAAGAAGAAAACCCCAAAAAAGAAAGAAAAAAAAAGGGTTTTCTTCTTTTTATAAGCCGAAAAAAGCCTAAGCTGAGAGCAGTGAATGCAGTATTAAAACTACACCTAATAAGAATCTGCTACATAAATATTTTGATTATGCTAAAAGTTGACAAACTTTGTTTTTCTGTGAATCACCATGGGCCCTTCCATTAACTCATGTGGCCTACTGAAGCCTCAGAAGGATGCAGCACTGAAGAAACACCATCCCTTTTCCTATGATTTCTGAGGGATCCTTTCAAGACTAATAATATGTGTTAGTAATTGTTTCTTACCCTGTTTCACAACTTATTCTTGTTTCTTCTATTTAAGATACTAATTTTGTCTCATGAGAGTGCAGAGATGCAGGGTAGAATCATACCCCATATGAGCACAAGTTTTTGAGGGGGATAAAGGTGGTGGCTGTTAGAGAAAAATGTGTTCTGCCTCA